ATTATCGTTGTTGATCCTTTAAAGGGGCTCCGAAATCTGGTCGACGGTTGCGTTGATTCCTGGCAAATAGCCAGCCCAGGCGCAAGGCGATCGCGCCGCATGCTCTTTTACCCCTGTTTGGATGAGAAAACGCTTGAAAATTTCAAATTCAATTTACAAAAACGCTAACAACATGTAGGGATTTACCTCGTAAGGACTCTCAACATAAGATTTCGTTGTGCCTTTAACGCAGGGGATTTGAAACACGCAGATCACGAGAATTCGCGCACTCTTGCCAAAAATCGATATGGAAATTACGCGTGGCGTCAGATGTTGCGGTAGGGGGAAGCAGATGCTTTGCCCGCCCAGGCTGCCCCGCAGTTTTCTCGGTGATCGCCCGTCCCCAATGGCTTTTTCGAATTTCCAGCATTTTGGGAGCCTTTAGCCAGCTTTTTGTCCCTCCACTCTTAACGTCTTTACTTCGACCTGAATTTTCGGCAAATATTGTAGACTTGCATAACTAAATACAGATACATGGTAATTTTCAGGTATGCCCACATTCCCGATTTTTGTTGGCCTCCCCTTCCCATTTCATCAGCGCCTCCTGGAATTCATCAGCGAGATGGACCCGTTCACGCGTTTCCGCTACTCCCGAACCTGTCGATACCTATGGGAGATGACCAGACAATCACCATCCAATCAGACATCCTATAAGATCGTCGCAACCAATGACGGAGTGTCCATATATTACAACGTCGCCAAGGAGAGCTTTGGCCGGTATGTTCCGTTGCCCAGCCAGTGGCGGGAACCGGCCTCGATCTCGTACTTACCGAAGCATTCCGCGCTTTTCCTAGATGAGTCTGACCCCTTCGATCCGGGCCACTACCCTCTTATGATGGTCGACGGGAAATTTCATTGGGCATTTCTATATAAACTTCAACTGACCCCAGAATTCATGCGTTTCATGAAAGATCGCGTGGCGGAGATCCAATTCTATGTGGACGAGTTAGCCATTGCGATCACGATTCGAAAAGATTTGTTTATCTACGAGTTTCGGGATGAGGATGTTGATAAAGTTGAACAATTCCGGGAAATGATTACAGCGGAGTGGATGGCCGGGATTCGGGAAATCACGTGGGGGATGATACTGGTGCGCGGCGTCGCCGAGTTTCCGGCAATGTTTCACCTGGGGCGAGTCGAGAACGAATATACACGTCAGGATGGGAAGAAGCTGCGTGTGAACTATGGCGGCGCGGTATTCTTCGAAAGCCCAAAAAGCGTCGAAGAGTAAAAGAAAAAATGTCAACAGCAGCTAATTGTGTCCCGATAAGTTTTTTGATCTTATGTTTCTGTTTCAGAATAAATCAAAAAGCTTTAGGTATTTGATCTACAGATACCATGCATAAAAATATCCCTCGTACAAGGAGTCGTTTTTAGGTGATCTTGAAATTTCGCGATGTGTCTTAGCTCGTTCGATAGAGCTTGAAATTTCGAACAAATCCTTTCGAGTTTCTATTGCTTTGTACTCTCTGTGTGCCATATCTACACCAACCATGCACAATAAATATTCCACGGATCATACGGTACCAGGAAGCACCCGAAATCATCGTTGTCGACCTTTTGTGCTTCCCGGTGTGGCAAAGGTTCCGGGGTGGGGGAAACAGCTTTCTCGGCACGTGGCTAGGATTTTGTTTTACGATTTTCGTATGCGTGTTTTGGGCTGTTACTGCGCATAAAAACCCCCATAATTTTTCATCAAAAATTTAAATTAGGTCGACAAATCGATTTTTTCGACACAAATGACCAAACTTTCGACTTTGCTTTTCTAGTTTAGATTTAATCCGGGCTTCAAACAATATAAAAGCAATTTATATTCGATCACTAGGCCAAGTGGAACGCCAGAAAAATAATGACAGTCTTGAAATTGGAGAAAGCGCATGATTAAAGGGATGCCGACGGCATGATCAATCGGTTACGTGCTGGAAAGAAAATGTTTCTGCGTCTCTCCCCAGGGCGCGCTCTCTGCCCTGTTGATTACTTGCCAATTTGTTGATGAGGGGGGATCGACACATGCCGTCGGCAGCCCTTTAAACTCGGTGTGGATGTCAGAAATTGTCTTTTTCTTCTACCAGATCTTCTTCTTCGTTTGCTATCATCAGACTTCTTTCCGCATTTGAAGCGAGGGAATTTGAAACAGGGAGACACGAAATCCCCCCCCCCCCTTGCCAATAATCGATATGGAAATCGATATGGCGTCTGATGTTGCGGTAGTGGGAAGCAGATGCTTTGCACGCCCAGGTTGCCCCACGGTTTTTTGGTGATACTTGCCCAGGCCCATCCGGGTTTTTTTCCAAAAGCCCACAATCCTGGCAGCCTATAACCAGGTTTTTGTGCTTGCTTACCGTTTCCCGGTTCTTTCGCATTATCGGGGGGACAACCTCCTTAGGGTTCTTAGGGCAAATTTTTCAAATCTAAATACCGGCGCCTTTTCTAAACCGTTTTTAGTATTCTGAAGCATCCAATTTTTATAAGGTTCTATTAAAAAGAATACGAAGAACGTGGATTTTTCGACAAAAAATTATCGATTTTTCGCCAAAATTTCGACGTTTCAAATTTTATAAAGCCTTTAAATTGTTGTCATAGTTGCAATATAGTAAAACACCAAAAAAGTTGTGCCTATCAAACATTTCTAGCAAATTCTCCCCTCCCGATAATGCAAAAGAACCGCGTTCCCTTTTCGATCTCGATTTTCGGCAAATATTTTAGACGTTTTAAGGCTCAATTAAATACGTTATAATTTTCAGGTATGCCCTCGCCAGTGGAACTGTTGGATCTGCCCTTCCCCTTTCATCAGCGCCTCCTGGAATTCATCAGCGACATGGACCCGTTCACGCGTTTCCGCTACTCCCGAACCTGTCGATGCCTATGGGAGATGACCGAACGATCACCGGCTAACCGAACATCTTATGACGTCATCGCGACGCCCCATGGTGGGGTGTCCATATATTACAACGTCGTCAAGGAGGACTTTGGCCAGTATGTTCCGCTGCCTGGCCAGTGGCGGGACTCGGCTGCGATCTCGTACTTACCGAAACACTCCGCACTTCTTCTAAATGAGTCTCACGCGTTCCAGCTAGATTACGACCCTCTTTCAGTTGGGGTGGTCGATGGGAAATTTCATTGGGCATCCTTATTTCAACTTCAACTGACCCCCGAATTAATGCGATTTATCAATGATCGGGTGGCTGGGGTTCATTTATATGTGTACGAGTTAGCCACTGCGATTACGATTCGAAAAGCTTTGTTTGTCTACGAGTTTCTGGAGGAGGACGCTGATAAAGTCGAACAATTCCGGGAGATGATTACAGCGGAGTGGATGGCCGGGATTCGGGACGTCAGTTGGGGGGGCAATCCTGGTACGCCAAGCCAGGTTGCCGATAATGTTCCACCTGGGGCGAGACCATCAACTATAATAAAAAAGTAGTGGTGTCTGTGTGTGTGTGTGTGTGTGTGTCCGGTCCCGGATTCAACTCGAAGGGGAAAGGAGCTAGAGCTTAGCTCTCTTCGGATTCGGATAGAGCGTGGTCAGAAACCCCCAAACTGATTAAAAAATTATCAAAAAGTTTTAATTTAAATTATTAAAATTAACTTTGAAAGTTTTTCCCTTAGTAAAAAGGGTGGGGGACGGAGGTTGGGGTGATTTTGGACATAGTGAGCCAGGTCGCGCGCGTTTCGTGGATGAAAATTTTCACGGGGGATTTCATTTCTTTTTTTCTCTCATTCCATCCGGTCGGTCGTTATTTTTGTTTTTAAGGGGATTTCGGCTATGGGAGGTATCTGTAGCCATCGGGAAGGTATTTAGGTAGTTTTTGAAGGGGATTTCAGCCATGGGGGGTATCTGAAGCCATCAGGAAGGTATTTAGGTGGTTTTTGAAGGGGATTTCAGCCATGGGGGGTATCTGAAGCCATCAGGAAGGTATTTAGGTAGTTTTTGAAGGGGATTTCAGCCATGGGGGGTATCTGAAGCCATCAGGCAGGTATTTAGGTAGTTTTTGAAGGGGATTTCGGCTATCGGGGGTATTGATGGAGATGGGAAAGGATGTGGTGGAGTGGGACATGTAGGGTAGCCCGAAGGCCAGATGGTTGCAGTCGCGAAGCGACTGTAACCATCTGGTAATGAATATACACGGCAGGATGGGAAGAAGCTGCGTGTGCGCTATCGCGGTGCGGAGATAATCTTTGAAATTATTATCTAGCCATAGAGGAGTAAAAGCGAATTTGATGAAGAGTCGCCAGTGCCTAAATGTCGCCCCTTTGCTGATTTGTCTGTAAACACGATTCTCTTACTTCAAACCGATTTTTCCCCGATAAATTTTTTGGCCATTTTTTTTCCGTTGGAGAACACAGCCAAGATCACTTGGTATTTTGAGCTTTTTTGGGCATTTTCAAACAATTTTGACCGAAAGGTTACAAATACGGAACGGGAACTTTGCAAAAAATTCGTTTCCCCCTTACAGAAAATCGCTGCCTTGCAAACAACCCAGAGGACAAACAGTTGTTTTCAGAATCAGGATTTCAGGATTGTCTCTCCCTCTCTCTCTCACCCCTCTGTCTCTCGCCCGTTCTCTCTCTCACTCTCCTCTCTCTCACTCCCTCGGTCTCTCTCCCGTTCTCTCTCTCACTCTCCTCTCTCTTTCTCTCTCTGTCTCTCTGTCTATCTCTCGCTCTCTCTCGCTCTCTCTCTCTCTGTCTCTCTCTTTGTCTTTCTCGCTCTCTGTATATCTCCCCTTCTCTCTCGCTCTCTCTCGCTCTCTCTGTCTCTCTCTGTCTCTCTCACTCTCTCTCCCGTTCTCTCTCACTTTCCTCTCGGCTCTCTCTCTCTCTCTCTCTCTCCATCTCTCTCTTTCTGTCCCTCCGTCTACAAAAAATAGCGCTCGCAAGACAAAATCTTTATGCATCGAATCCTAACGGGAAATGACAGGCGAGTATCGAATGGAATGGATGGTTTAGTGGCGCGTTTAGTCGGATTTGGATGAGTCGGAAGCGGATGCCTGGTACGCCGAGACCATCGAGACCGACACCGAGCAGTCCGCCGCGCTGGACTTTTGCGATTCTTCGGTCGAGTTGGTGGCGGTGGACGAGTTCTGGAAAAAACACGTATTAATTTGCTGGCCGAAACGGAAGAAGTATCCATTAATGTAGCTCGACTGGCTTATAGGCATTAAAGGGCCAGGAAGGCAAGTTAGTCTCGGACTGTTAGCGGGGGACCAAATTTTTCCTTGTGATTCTTTACGGCCCTATAACAAAATATAAACCATTTTTACCGCATTTTACATAGTTTATTCATACAAAACCAATATAAAAAACAAAACGATGTTCGAAAATTATCGATTTTGGAGTCCAAATCTCTGAAGAATAACCAAAATAAGTCAAAACTTCCAATTTGAAAATTTTTAAAAACATGCGTTATAAATTTTTAGCAATCAAAACCAACTAAAAACATTTAAAATTACATTATTGATCATCAAATATAGGGGTGGACACCCAAAAATTGGTTGTTCACCCCCGCTAGCAGATCAGAACCGACTTATCTGTCCCCTCCAAAAGCCATAGCAGTCCTTAAATTTCATTACCGTTCTCTCCCTCTTCCTCCTGTCCTTCTTCCCCTTGTTGCAGCACGTCCAGAACGACTCGTCGGCGCTGGGCATATGCTCGACGAGGGGCTTGTTCTTCGATTCGGGGATGAAGCGCGAGCACAGCAGCGTCTCCATCGCCACCATCACCATCAACACGCCGAACGGGATGGCGCGGTGGACTTCGGTCTGAACGGCTTGATCAAGACGCCAGAATTTTCTCACCAATTTGAAGAGCTGCACGCCGATGACGGAGCCGGTGTTGTTGCTCATCTGGGCGACGGCGAACGCCTTGTTGCGGATGGGGGTCGGGTAGATCTCGGAGACGACCACTTGGTTCGTCAGCAGAATCTGAAAGGTACTCCATCATGATGTCAAAACTTCAAGATTCTGAATTTCGAGATTTCCAACGAGTTCAAGGAGTTCAGGATCACCACCAACCATCGCAGCCACAGAAATGGCGGTGAGGGCGAGGTACTTGACGACGTCGTCGAACTCGCGGTCGTACCCCGTGTACTGCATCACCACTACGCAGCCCAGCCCGAACACGACGTACACGGCGAACATATAGTGCGCTTTCTTAAGGGGATATGTGTAGTTTGTAGTCCAGGCGTGTAGTCCTACAAGTCGCCCGAGGCACTCGATCTTGTAGTCGAGCGCGGCAAGCGTCATGTTGAGCACGGTGCGGCAGATGGAGAGCATCACCATCTTCTCGTAGATGGTCCCGGAGAGCTTCTCGAGGTTGAAGAACAGGCCGTACGTGACGGCGCCGACGCAGATGCTGGAAAGAGGTCGTTGACATGGGAAATAAGGACGTAACGTTGCTTTAAAAGGATTGACAAGGTAAGAAGGTTCTGGTTTGTTAGCGAGGGAGCATTAGTACACCCACTAGCTGAAGTACATTGTCGCCGAGTAGGAGACGAGGGTCCACGTGTAGAAGAGGTGCTGGTAGAAGTAGCTCTTGCCGGCGGTGCGCTGCAAGGAGTTCAAGAGGTTCAAGATGCTGTAGATGATAAAACCTTGCACGCCTCGCGCTCCTCCTCGAACAGCTTGCGCAACGGGACCGGGTCGAACTCGATGCCGTCCATCTTCGACGTTTCCTCGACGACCTTCATCGCGTCGTCGAGGCGCCCCTGGCGGACGAGCCAGTACACCGGCTCTTTGCAGAAGCTAGAAAAGACAGGATAGTCCGAAAATTGACATGTTGATGGTAGATGACCAGTGAAGCCACCCACTACATCATGATGCTGATGGGGATTCCGAGGAGTCCAAGGGAGCGCTGCAACCACCGCCAATCCTGGACGGTCCACGCCATCGCCGTGACGATGATGATGTTGGGGGACCAGTTGAGGATGAAGTTCAGCCACATACGGTGCTTTGCCGGCAGCGTCTCGCACATGAACACCGTGATGATGCTGAAAAATCGGGGTTTGAAAGGGACTGTGAAGCGGCGGACCCCCTCCCCCCCGATAAGGCAAAAGAATTGAACTAGCTAAACTAGCTGCACCCACACTTGATGCCCGACGTTGAAGAAGATGGTGAAGGCGCGTAGCACGGTGAACGACCAGTAGCCGGGTGCGTACGACGACGCGAAGCCGAACACCCCGGAGAAGAACACGCAGGCGAGCATTGTCTAGGTGAAGTTGGGTGGAAACCGTAGCAATCTTCTACCCATTTCCGGCCCCACCGATCCGACACGGGCCCGAAGATGAGGGCGCCGATCAGGTTGCCGAGCAGCTGCAGCGAGGTGCTGTCCTTGATCACCTTCGCGTTCTCCGGGCACAAGAAGTCGAACTGGAATGAAAAGCGGTTCATATTTTGGGAGATGTTGCTATCCCTTTAAAGCCAATTTCCGCTTTGAAAAACGCTCGATAAAAGCCGAGGCGGCACCGGGCTGTACTGTTTGAACTCGTTGATCGTCGTATTATTAATTAGCACCATCACGCACAGTCTCTTTAAACCACCATCCGATACCTCCACGTTGATCGAGTTGAACGAGTAGTCGAGGATCGGTTTGCACTGGCCGGTGCGCATCTCGCGGCACACCATCTCCTCCTCGGCCATCATCACCTTCGTGCCGTTGCGGTAGTCGCAGCCGACGATGTGGGGAGGTTCGCCTAAAAATTTTGTGACTGAACGCCTCCACCATGTTGCTCACCTCCAAATGCCATGAAGAGAAAATTGCCGGCTTGCATAAGAAAGATTAGCTAAAAAAAATTAATTGTAGTCCAACTTAAATGCGATACCTCACAAGTTACACACACAAGCAGGGCGTAGCGCCCCAAATTTAAGTACTTGTCGATCCGGCCGGCTGCCATCTGAACAAGAAAAATTTGCATAAAATGAGCTTTGACTACCTTAACTTATTAGACCGCAAAAAATCTGGGTGGGTAGAAAAATAGGAAATGACGATTGAAGATTTCTGAGCGGCATGGTTTTGCACCGGAAATGAGATGCTAAATTGTTGAAATTTTGGGATGTTAATTGATGATGCGAAATTTATGTCATATCGAGAGAGAGAGAGGGAGAAGGAGAGAGAGGGAGGAGGGAGGGAGGGCGAGGAGAGAGAGAGGGAGTGAGGGTCGAGAGAGATAGCGAGAAAGAGCGAGAGTGAGCGAGAGAGAGAAAGAGTGAGGGAAAAAGAGAAAAAGCAAGAGAGTGGGAAAGAGTAGTTCGTGAGATAGTGTGAGAATGAGAGAGATAGAGAAACAGAGAACGAGAGAAAAAAGAGTGCATGTGGGACAGGGGAGACAGAGAGAGAGAGAGAGAGAGAGAGAGAGAGAGAGAGAGAGAGGGAGGGAGAGAGAGGGGGGAGAGAGGGGGAGAGTAAGAGCGCGAGAGGGAGAGCGAGAGCTAGAGAGAGATAGAGAGAGAGAGAGAGAGAGAGAGAGAGCGAGAGAGGAATTGTGAGGGAGATATCGACAAAAAAATCATTTGAAAAGGCATAAAAACGTAACATTCCACGGAATTTTTGTCAGTACTATGGACTTAACTAAATTCTACAATGTATGGATGTTTTTTGAAGCTTTCTAGTTTTTGAAATAATTTCGAGTGCTGTTTTCGTTCTTCACGAGTAAATTCTTTATTGTTGACAACTAAAACTCATAAAGCAGGCAGGTCTGGTGCCCCTCCCTGGATGACCGTTTGGTTCACCGTCACATCAATTTCTAGATTCTTAGCCAGCAGTTTTGCCAATTCCTCCATATCGTCTTTGCTCAGGGTTTTTACGCTACCATCACCAGACCATTTTCTTTTGTCAGTTGAACTGAAAGAAGCTCAGTTTTCAGCTAACTCACAAAAAGCGTCTAAGAAGCTCAGTACGCTGCTTGACTTACGCGTTCTTCGAATCCTTCCCATCTGTGCCAACCTGCTTGTTGATTTCGCTACCAAAGAGGGGACACACGTCTTCATAATCAGTTGCCTATACTGCGGACTATCAATGATTAATAATTATCTGCGAAAGCAAACAACCGCAAGCCGCTCGCACTGGATTGAAAGGCCTTGGGTCTCTTACTTACCGTATTTCCAACCAAATTCGACCCGGTGAGCACCACATTTTGGAGCTGTCCATAACACTGGAATTTCAGAATTACGTCGATAAAGTGGAGAGAGAGAGAGCAGAGAGAGCGAGAGAGAGAGAGAGGCAGAGAGACCAGATCGAAGGAGAAATAGCTCTATTACCAAGAGGGAATTGTGTGGCCAAATACCTCAAATCGTCGAACCGCCGTCAAGCTAGCCAGTTCTCCAGTCTGCTTCCATGTCTTCCCACTCCATGACGCTCCGCTACCGTAGGCCACGGTAACTTGATTCGGCCCGGTAACGCTAAAAATAGATGAAAACTAACTGCTGTTGGCATACTTACGGTAGCGTATCGAAATCTTTCGAGGACCTGTTACCTCAGAAACCCACGTTATCTTCATATTGAATCGACTCCCGGCTTTATACGGATCCTTGTCTGTCCGCTTTGCACTACGATTCTGAATACCTATCATAATCGAATAAGCAACCCCTAACCATGTCTTTTTGGCAAATGGCCCGGAAGGGATCCGTGCACCTTGCGTCATTCCAGCGTCCACTTGGGTGCATCTGGAGCAAAAAAATCTAGCTGGCGCCATCACTTTAATTCCCTACAATCAGGCAAGACTCGATTCCGCCCGTGTTGTCCATGTATTGATCGTCCCAATTCACATAGCTCATCTTCGATTTGTCGACCCAGGCGAAGCCATATTTCGATGGATCTGTCTTAAATCAAACATCTAAGCGGGAATAACGAAAGCTTCTGGTAATAATACCGACAACTAAATTTCCGATAACTAAAATGCCGACAGTCAAAAGACCGACAATCTGAACGACTTTTGGAATTGAGCAGGGTTTTTACGAATACAAAGAATGCTGCACGCATGGGTGCGACAGTTTTAGCTTGTCGGCATGCCGTCCATTTTAGCTACAGTGTGTGCCATAATGATAGGGGAATGAAGTTTTTGGCCGTTTTCTCCGCGGCCTTGCATGTACCCGTACAAACCGGATAGTAGGTTTTGTGGTCCGGAAAAATGCGCATCTTTTGGTCTACTTGAAATGCTTTTACGATGCAGGATCACGCTTTTATACGCAATCGTATAAAAATAGGCGAAAAACACAAGTGACAAAATGATAGGGGAATCATTAACATATCATTTCCATCAATTTTCTGTATGAATAGTGGATGCTAATTAGATGCAAATTTTAGCTGGCTGTTTGCGGTTGGCTTTTCGGTCAGAAAATGCTATCTTTGCATCGTTCTCTCCTATGAATCTTCAATTAAAATCACTTAGCATCCACTATTCATACAGAAAGTTGATGGAAATGCTATGTTAATGATTCCCCTATCATTTTGTCACTTGTGTTTTTCGCCTATTTTTATACGATTGCGTATAAAAGCGTGATCCTGCATCGTAAAAGCATTTCAAGTAGACCAAAAGATGCGCATTTTTCCGGACCACAAAACCTACTATCCGGTTTGTACGGGTACATGCAAGGCCGCGGAGAAAACGGCAAAAAAACTTCATTCCCCTATCATTATGGCACACACTGTATTTCCCGCTTAATGGTAAGGCGTGAATTGTACCCTTGCGGAACCCAACCATAGCAAGTTGGATCGAGCGCCAAACATTTCCGGCGAGCCCATGCCTAAAAAATAGATTAATTATAGGTCCCTTTCGAACGCTTAACGTCTTTTAACGCCCTTTCAAAGTTACTTTGGTTCTTTTTCTGTCTCTCTCCCTCTCTCTCTCTCTGTCTTTAGCTCCATTCCTTACCAATGACGAACGCATTTTCTGCAGCGCTATGAATGGTGGCCATTTTTGCCCCGAGTGCTTCACATCCAAAGGCGGCTTCTGTGAATTGAATGGGGCTTGGTAGAAACTAATCGTCCATTTTGAAGTAATTTGGAGTTGGTACCTTGTAGCAGTTGTCCGTGCCATTTCCAAGTGTCCAGCCATCCTCACAGGGTTGCTGAAATTTTTATTTGTTTGTTAAAGACGTATTATGCCTTTATAGATCGCTCCATTTTCTTCAAAATCTTCCACAAAGGGCTTTGCTATGATATTCCATGTTTTTTGAGGATTTTAGCATTCTTTACCATAATTTCACGACTCGAGTGCAGTTTAGCTAGAACGAGGAAATATAATCTTACCACTTTCTTCTTTGGCCGCCACGCAAATTGGGTGTATGCCGGAGCATCTAGGCGATGGCTCAACTCGGCGAATGTATTCTTGCCAAACAAAGCGCCATCCAGGCTGCAGGACCAGCTAGAAATAAGGTAAGCTGCTGCCCAAACAGATTGGCTACGTTTTAGCATTCGACTTGAGCACTCCACTTGCTGTGAAGGTGTCACCGACTTGAAGCGGTCGTTGTAGGCAGCGGTGAAAATCTGGAATCCACAAATTAACCTAAAATGACCAGTATTTAAGCCACCTTCC